TGGATCACGGGAAGTGGGTTAAAAAACGACCGAAAGATTTGCACCGTCGTAAGCAAGCAAGCAAGCACGCAAGCAAGCAAGCAAGCGAACTTAATATAAAGGATTAAAAAAAACTAAATAATGATCGAAGCTAAGTGCCGACTACACCGAGCATCTTCTTGTTTCCACTGATCGTATGGAGAAGGTGAGAGAGACGGAGAGAGACGTTACTTCTTAATTTTTCGTGAGTTTCTGTTTCATTTTTTCGTTCATCTTCCTCACTCCCTTTCTAGATTTGAAGCTTTCGTGATTCATATTCTTGGGTTTTTTCGGTAAAGTCACGTAGGTAAATGTTTTTTAATTAAAAATTTATAAAAATAGAATAAAAATCACGACATTTCGGAGGCAACACAAGCTTCCGTCTTCAGGTGGAACCGTCACAGCACGACTGCTGTATCAAGTGAGAGAAATTCCAACTTTGTTATCTCGGCATCTCTTGAGGAAGGCCAGCGTCTCGAGAAGCTGTGACTTCTTGTCTCGTTGTCTGTTAAAAAACTCTAACAGATAGGTGGAATTCCTCCCCGTAGAGGGTGTTAGTTCTAGATTTGAAGCTTTCGTGACTGCAAGGATTAATATTCTTAGGTTTTTTTCGGTAAAGTCACGTAGGTAAAAAATAAAAATTAATAAAATAAAAATAAAATAAAAATCACGACGTTTCGGAGGCAACACAAGCTTCCGTCTTCAGGTGGAACCGTCACAGCACGCTCCCCGTATCATTTACTTTCTCACTCCAATCGGTGGATATGAGGACCCGAGTTTAACAGGCCGCACGTCGTTATGATACCATAACAGCCTGCTCAGATGTATATTGACAAAGCAAAAGTCATTTCAGGATCTTGGCTATGCGGTTTGTGAACAGCTGTGGCCAAATCTGAACAGCAGGTGACACAGTGTTGTTGTATAAGTAGTGAGTTCTCAGTAAATCAGACGACATAGTTGAGGCACACTCTTTTATCTAACCAAAGGCGGTAACACAATACTTGAAGGGGTAACGGCCCCTTCACCCGTACTCAATGGGAAACACCCCTAGCACTATCCCCTGACTGTCCTAGTCCCAGTCCTATGAGTGCTATGGGAGGCTATCTGATCCGGCCCTGGTCAAGCACGGATCCCGGCACCCAGCTAACCAGACCGTGCTCTTACAAGAGCAGAGGTCCTGGAGCTCTTGGGGCCGCGCCACTGGCTTGCCCTGCTCGGCCCTGACAAGGGCAGCGAGCCAGGGGAGTCCCAGGGCCTATCCTGCCGGTCTTCAGTCTTCACTGGTAAAGCTTCTAGCACACTGGCCTCGAGCCCTCTGGCTCCCCCGGCCCGCCTTTTATAGGAATCCTCTCCGAGGGGTGGGGGTGGGGCTGTGGGGGATCACAGCGCCCCCCCATGGCCCCCCCCAGGGTTAACCGATGCGGACGTGGATGTAGACACCCGTGTGTGGGTGCAGACACCCGTGTGTGGGTGCAGACACCCGTGTGTGGGTGCAGACAGACACCCATTGTGTTTCTGTCCGCCTTTCTCCCCGTAACAACCCATACACGTGTATATTGTTTTTTTCTGAAAAATTATACATTAAATTGGGAAATGTGGAAAAAAAAGACGGGGATGAAGAAGGGGAGAGAGACGGCGAGACCGAGACTGCGAGACGGGGCGAGTTGGTGGGGGGGGAGGGTGGAACGCCACTGCCATGTTGTTTGTTACGGAGTTGCACATCTTGCAGCCATTACACTGTTTGGACTTGGCAAGGACGCCATGTGCTCATTACGGCTATAATGAGGCCGTCGCAACGACACGCACACACACAAATACCGCGTGTAGCCTGCAACAGACTGTTGGGGTAAGTGCTGTTAGGGGCCGTCCATAAATGACGTCACGCGATTATGGACAAATTTGACCCCCCCCCCCCTCGTCACACGGCGTCACGAAAAGTCAGACCCCCCCCCCACCTCAAATATGACATCACAAAGCTTTGCCCCCCCTAAAACAAAATATAAAACATGCTTCAAATCTTGCTTTAAAGCTTTCGTGACTGCAGGGATTCATCTTCTTGGTTCTTTCGTTAAAGTCACGTAGAAGGGAAGTAATAAAATAATAAAAATAATAAAAATTTCGATTTAAAGCTTTCGTGACTGCAGGGATTCATCTTCTTGGTTCTTTCGTTAAAGTCACGTAGAAGGGAAGTAATAAAATAATAAAAATAATAAAAATTTCGATTTAAAGCTTTCGTGACTGCAGGGATTCATCGTCTGGGTTCTTTCGGTAAAGTCACGTAGAAGGGAAGTAATAAGATAATTAAAAAATAAAACAAAATAGAATAATTCTCACGACGTTTCGGCCACAACGCAAGCAGGACGGCTGCTTGCGTTGTGGCCGAAACGTCGTGACAATTATTTTATTTTGTTTTATTTTTATTACTTTATTACTTCCCTTCTACGTGACTTTACCGAAAGAACCAAGAATATGCTTCAAATCGCTTTAAACTATTGTCATTGTAGTGCGTATTTAATGCGGCGCTGCACTCTGATGTTGTAGGAGAAAACATTTATTACAAAGTCTATTTAATTAAGTAGAACGTGTTGTCTATATTTAGTTAAAGTTGCGCATTTTGATGTGACGTCACATTTCTCACCCCCCCCCCCCCTCCTCTCGTCACACATCGTCACAAATGTCTGACCCCCCCCCCCCAGGTGCGTGACGTCATTTAAGGGCGGCCCCTTAGCGAGTAGCATTACCTAAGAAGGCTACCGGCACTGTGGCACACGAGGGGGTGGGTGACCATCACTACGCCCGGCCGCCTTTGTCTCCCCAGTTGGCGATGTTTTTTTTCTACAAACACAACGCACCCGATTTTAAGTTGCGGCCGAGTTGACCTAGGGGAGGCCCCCATGTCCAGTTCGGCGGGGAGCGGGAATCGAACTCGGGTGGTCGGGGCAGCGTGGCGAGCCAAACCGCTGCGCCACCGCTCCCCATACGATGCGAGGCGCACGCACGCGCGCACACACACACACGCGCACACACACACACGCACACACACACGCACACACATACACAGATACACACACACACGCACACACACGCACACACACACAGACACACACACGCGCGCACACACGCGCACACACGCACACACACGCGCACACACACGCACACACACGCGCACACGCACGCACACACACACGCACACACACGCGCACACACACACGCACACACACACGCACACACACGCGCGCACGCACGCGCACACACACAGACACACTCACACGCACACACAGACACACACACACGCACCCACACGGGCACACACACGGGCACACACACGCGCACACACACTCACACAAACGAGCACGCACACACGCACACACACGGGCACACACGCACACACACGGACACACACACGCGCACACACACTCACACACACACGCACACACACGCACACACATACACACACAGACACACACACACTCACACAACAACAAGCCCCATTCGCCACTAAGTGGCGGTGACGTCACCACGGCGCTGGTGCCAGGCTAGGTGCACGTTGAGGCCACGTGAAGTGTCGAACGCCCGCTGGCAGGAGGTCACGGGGCAGACCCAGCAGGTGCCACGGGTCGACTGACTGAGATGACCGAGATGACTGGCTGATGCACCACCTGTGCCCCCTACTGTGCCAACTTGCTGTGCGTTAGCCACCCGGCGCTCCGCTCGTTGTTGTGAGCGTCGCTCCTCCACCCTCTGTTGTTGCTGGAGGGCGACTGCCTCCAACTGCCCAGTAGCGTCCTTCACGAGCCTCCTACACTGACACCGCTGGTACCAGTCATCGGCAAGTCCACTCAGCTCTACGTCCTCCTGTACCACATCACTCCATCTCTTCTCTAGCCCGTGCCGCGCCCGTTTAGCCCCCTGAATCCGGCCGAACAAAAGCTGTTAAGGCATGCGGTGGCTGGGCATGCGGTGGCTAGGCATGCGAGCTACATGACCCAGCCAACGCAGCCTTGCCTGCCGTAGGAGCTCACCGATGTGATCTTTTAAGGATTTGTGAGCTCATCACACAATCCAGCCTGGTTAAACCCAGGATGGATCGTAGGCAAGCCAGCCTGAATGTTTATAACACACACACACATACGCGCGCGCGCGCGCGCGCGCACACACACACACGCACACACACACGCACACACACGCACACGCGCAAACACACACACGCGCGCACACACGCACACACACGCACACACGCGCACACACGCACACACACGCGCACACACGCACACACACACACGCGCACACACACGCGCACACACACACGCGCACACACACGCGCACACAAGCGCCAGTCTGACGCCTGTTTGCATGTCAGTTGTGCTGAGTCACCTGGTGCCGCACAGGGGCAGCTGCCACTGGTCTGGGGGTGGGGGGAAGGTGGGGGGGGGGTGTGGGATGGTGGGTGGAGGTGTGGGTGGAGGTATGGGATGGTGGGTGGAGGTGTGGGTGGAGGTTTGGGATGGTGGGTGGAGGTGTGGGTGGAGGTGTGGGATGGTGGGTGGAGGTGTGGGTGGAGGTTTGGGATAGTGGGTGGTGGTGTGGGTGGAGGTTGGAGGTATGAGATGGTGGGTGGAGGTGTGGGTGGAGGTTGGAGGTATGGGAAGGTGGGGGGGGGGTGGAGGTTTGGGATGGTGGGTGGAGGTGTGGGTGGAGGTTTGGGATGGTGGGTGGAGGTGTGGGTGTAGGTATGGGATGGTGGGTGGAGGTGTGGGTGGAGGTTTGGGATGGTGGGTGGAGGTGTGGGTGGAGGTTTGGGATGGTGGGTGGAGGTGTGGGTGGAGGTATGGGATGGTGGGGCGAAGGTGTCCAGCGAAGTGCCTCTCCCCGTTTCAAACGTGCGTATCACCCACGCGGACTCATTCTCATCATACCTCACTAACCACCCCCTCTACCTCCTCTGCCCCCCACCACCACCACTCCCCCCACCATCAGATCAACCATGGGCATCCACAGCGAGTCGCCGTCGAACGCGAGCTGGCTGGCACCCTCGCCAAACCTACGCGTCAACAGCACCGCGCTCATCAAGCGCCCCTACATGCACAAGCTGGCTCACTTGGATGAGGAGCTTTTCGACGAGTACCACTCCCTGTGGCTCACGCTGCTCTCCGTGAGTGTCGTGGTGAGCCTCGCTGGACTCGTCGCCAACTCGGCCGCCCTTTGGGTCTTCTGCTGCCGCACCCGCGCCAAGACGGCACCGGTCGTCTACACGCTCAACCTCGTCGCCGCCGACCTCCTCCTGAGCCTTGCCATCCCGGCGCGCGTCCTCATGTACGCGAGCCGAGGCCGCTGCCTCGCCTGCTCGCACGCGCACGTGTTCCTGTACTTCGTGAACATGTACGCGAGCGTGTTCTTCCTCACCTGCATCGGGGTCGACCGCTACATGGCCATCGTGCACCCGCTCGCCTCCAAGCGCTGGCGGCGGCCTCGCTGCGCCGTCGTCATAAGCGCCGTCCTCTGGACCCTCGCCACGGTCATCACCACGTCGGTCCTCACCATGGCGATCAAGTTCTCCGCCTGCTGCTACTTCAAGCTCTTTATGCTGTCCCTCTTCGAGTTCTTCTTGCCGTTCGCCGTCACGGCGTTCGTGACGGCGCGCATGCTGTGCGCTCTCCGGCGCAGCGGCGGCGGCGGTGTCGTCGGTTCATCCTCCTCCTCGGGCTCCCGCGAGAAGCTGCGTCGCGCCGTGCGTCTCCTCGTCGCCGTCTTCGTCGTCTTCGCCGTCTGCTTCGTGCCCTTCCACGTGCGCCAGGTCGTCCTCTTCGGCCACGACGCCGTCGACGAGGCCACCGCGCTCGTCGCCTACCACGTGACGCTCACGCTGAGCAGCTTCAACTGCGTCCTCGACCCCGTCGTCTACTGCTTCGTGACGAAGCGTTCGCGCGACGCGCTGCGCTCGCTGTTCGCCCGCGGCCCCAAGCGCGGGGGGGACGCCGCGGTCGAGAAGGACGCGGCGCTCGGGACCGGCGCCGGCGACGCGACCGGCGTCACCGCGACGGACGTCAGTCGCGGGCAGGCGACGTCCGAGACGGATATGTGATGCCTGGCGGGGCGGGTGGGTGGCAGAGGTCGCAACCGGGTACCCGATACCCGTACCCTACCCGATACCCGGCTACCAGTACCCAGTGGAGGAGGAGGAGGTGGAGGAGGAGGAGGTGGAGACCCTGGTGCGGCCGGGTACGGGTAACGGGTAGGCCGTGAGTCACTGGTGAGTAGCCGTTTGTCACTCATTTCGGGTAGGGTACGGGTAGGGGTCGGGAACGGGTACCCATTTGCGACCCTGGTGCGGCCGGGTTCGGGTAAGGAATCAAAACCCGTTTGCGACCTCTGGTGGGTGGGGAGAGGCAGAGGAGGAGGGAGGAGGCAAGAGGATGAATCGGAGCAAAGTCGAGGGCCGTGTTAGGTGGTGGAGGAGGAGGTGGAGGAGGAGGTGGAGGAGGAGGAGGGGGAGGAGAGTGCGAGTCGGGCTGGAGAGAGACGTGTGGCAGGACAGGAAGTAGCACCACCACAACCACCACCAGCACCACCACCACCACCACAACCACCACCAGCACCACCACTACACCAGCACACCACCACCTCACCACCACCTCACCACCACACCACCACCACCACACCACCACCACCACCACCACACCACCACCACACCACCACCACACCACCACACCACCACCACACCACCACCACCACACCACCACCACCACTACCACACCACCACCACCACTCCACCTCACCACCACTACCACACCACCACCACCACCACCACACCACTATCACACCACCACCACATGAACACCTTGGCTACTCCAGTGTGTTCACGCTGTGTGTAGTGTGTTCACGCTGTGTATATTGTGTTCACGCTGTGTGTAGTGTGTTCACGCTGTGTGTAGTGTGTTCACGCTGTGTGTAGTGTGTTCACGCTGTGTGTAGTGTGTTCACGCTGTGTGTAGTGTGTTCACGCTGTGTATATTGTGTTCACGCTGTGTGTAGTGTGTTCACGCTGTGTGTAGTGTGTTCACGCTGTGTGTAGTGTGTTCAAGCTGTGTGTAGTGTGTTCACGCTCTGTGTAGTTTAACCCCAGTGTGTTCACGCTGTGTGTAGTGTGTTCACGCTGTGTGTAGTGTGTTCACGCTGTGTGTAGTGTGTTCACGCTGTGTGTAGTGTGTTCACGCTGTGTGTAGTGTGTTCACGCTGTGTGTAGTTTAACACTTGTGTGTTCACGCTGTGTGTAGTGTGTTCACGCTGTGTGTAGTATAACCCCAGTGTGTTCACGCTGTGTGTTGTGTGTTCACGCTGTGTGTAGTGTGGTCACGCTGTGTGTAGTGTGTTCACGCTGTGTGTAGTATAACCCGTGTGTTCACGCTGTGTGTTGTGTGTTCACGCTGTGTGCAGTGTGTTCACGCTGTGCGTAGTGTGTTGACGCTGTGTATAGTTTAACCCTAATGTGTTCACGCTCTGTGTAGTGTGTTCACGCTGTGTGTCGTGTGTTCACGCTGTGTGTAGTTTAACCCTTGTGTATTCACGCTGTGTGTAGTGTGTTCACGCTGTGTGTAGTGTGTTCACGCTGTGTGTAGTGTGTTCACGCTGTGTGTAGTTTAACACGAGCTCTCTATACAACCCCCACCCTACACGTGCCCAGTCACGTGCCCCACCACGTGCCCAGTCACGTGCCCGTCACAATATCGCCTCACGTGGATTCGTCGAGATTTCGTAACCGTTGCACAATTGATCGTTTTCTTTTTTTAAACATATATCTACTGTGATAATATTATGTTGTTATAACATTTCTGCTGAACGTAGCGGCCTATAGGGGCCGTCCATAAATGACGTCACACGGCGTCACAAAAAGTCAGACCCACA